CTAACCGCTAGACCACAGATTGCGTATATTTTGCGTCTGGAAGAAGTAACTTAATCTTAGAATAACAAACGTTTATGGAGGAGTTTGCTTTTTATTGGAGTGTGTGTGTGTGTGTGTGTGTGTGTGTGTGTGTGTGTGTGTGTGTGTGTGTGTGTGTGTGTATGTGTGTGTGAATTATTATATGCATTTCTGTGCGGTTGTGCCTGTTCGTGGATGGGTGTTTGCGTGGTGCGCAGGTGTGTGTATGTGTATGTGTATGTGTATGTGTATGTGTATGTGTATGTGTATGTGTATGTGAGTGTGTATGTTTGAAAGGAAAGTGGAGGGGGGAGGCAGAAGGTTGGACCTACCTTGATTTGACTCCGCACACACTGAAGCATCGTCTGCCCTCACTCAGCGAGTGTGTCAGGAGATTTTCTCTACACATCCCTCTGCCAGCACACACCAGCACACACCAGCATGCACCAGCACGCACAAGCACGCACCAGCACACACCAGTACAACTACACACCGACAAATCTCACTCCTCGTTTTTTCCTCCTCCTCCTCCTCCTGCTCCTCCCTTCTTTCATTCACAATCGGCTGCTCGTGTGGACAGGACTTTCACGTTCTGTCTTTCTTCTTGCCCTTTATTGTATTAGGATCTGGTTCAAATTCCATTCATGTCAAGTCGTTTTTTTTTAGTAACTAACTTTGTCTGGGAAAATATATTATCTTTTAAAGTATTCAATTATGTCCAGAGTCCAACTATAATTACAAACTGTAATAACATAATATTTTGTTATCAAGCTACATCTTTTCGTCTTCTTTTCTATATATAGATCTATCACTGAAATTTTGTTTTTTTGTTTTTCTTTATCTCTCTATTGTGGTAAGGTACGTTTCTTTGATGCTACAATCACAAAGAGCCTTTATTCTTCATAATATGTCGCCTTGTTCTAACTTCTTTCTATTCATGTTCTCCTTTTTCTCACACACTCGCCCCCTCCTCCTGCCAACGTCGGTCTCTTCACGACCCCAAAAGAGGAATTTCTCCGGTTATCTCCCTTCTGCCGCTTTTTCCATTTCTTCGTGGGTTGTTTCCCTGCAACAGAGAGATGAAGAGAAGGAAATGAGTCATGGCATTGCAATGGGAGGATGGAACGTGGTTGGGGAGAGAGGGGGGGAGAGAGAGAGAGAGAGAGAGAGAGAGAGAGAGAGAGAGAGAGAGAGAGAGAGAGGGGGGGAGAGGGGAAGAGGGGCTGGAGGGAAGAAAAAGTACGTTCACATCCTCGAGAAAATTCAATAACTTTTCCTGACTGGGGTGCTGTGTTTCACACTTTAAAAAACATAATTAGGCATCCTCAGAACTTGAAACCACTCACCGAAACCGACGTATAACAGAAGAGATTTCATATGAGGAATGATCCTCCCGCTCCCTGCCTCCACCAAACACAAAAATAAATAAATAAATAAATAAATAAATAAATAAATAAATAAATAAATAAA